GAAAAAACCTCCTCCCGGAAGAGCAGCGGCGGCTCACAAACCTCTGGCAGCCTGCGCCGGGGCAGGGCTGTGCTCTCCCGTCCCATCCCACCCCGTCACCCTGCGCCTCCTCCTCGCCCCGCTCCTTCGTGCACTCCTCCAAAGGGCTTTGCACCAGCCAGGCACCCACAGAAAGGAGCAGCCTGAGCACTCGGGCATTGGAAACCCAGCCCAGCCCTGCATTTACAACCACTTTTTTGCAGTCGTCGTGCAGCTCCCGGCGTGGGGAGGCATCAGGCACCCGGCGGGGATGCCGATGTCCCATCTCTGCTGCCTGCCACCGCTGGCATTTGCAGCTCTGCCCAGCGGAGCTCTTGCAGCAGAGCCCCGAGCACATGGGGACAGGGATGGGGAGAGGCAGGAGCTCCGGGGCTGGAGCTGGCACTCCCAGGTTAGATGCCCTGGGTGATGCCCTGGGAGAAGAAGGTCCCTGCTTGCAAGGAAAGTGCTTCCCCAGCGAAACTCCAGGCTTGGGAGGGCTTAAGGAAAAAATAATGAATGAGCATTTTATCGATACCCATGTCACTGGCAGGAGAAAACAAACAGTGATCCACCCAGTGTGCATTCAATCTGCAAGGCATGCAATCAATAAAAACCCGAGCGAGGCTCTGTCAGATTTATGGGCCGCGCTCAGAAAACACGCCGTTGCTCCCCGCGCCGCGGCCCCAGCCCCACAATGCCCCATTGTTCAGCGCGGGCCGCGTGTGAAACCCGGGGAAAGCGTGTTTGCTTTGCCCGCTGGGCCCTCTTATCTTATCAGCACCGCCGCCACAATAGGCCAGGTGTACTCACCATTTTACCGTCGGGCGAGAGCAAACCGTGGCCCGGGTCCAAGCTGGCCGGGGAGACCTGCTGCAGGACCGCCTGGCTGGTGGTGACCATGGCACCGCCACCGTGGTGGCTGATGGTCCCTGAGGATGCCGCCTCGCCGCTCGCCGCCTGGCTGTACCGGACCCCTGCAAAACACCGCCAGGTGTTGGCATTGCCTGCGGGCACCCCAGTGAGGGTGTCCTGGCCGTGCCAACCCCCTCTGAAAGTGGCCCTGCAAAGGGAAACCCCCTCCATCCCTCCCCGGCTCCCTCGGCATGCGCAGCACGAGGATGCAAGCAGACGCACAAGCTCCTAAGTGACACCCTTGAACAATAAATGGAAGGGACAGCACCAGACAATGTGCCCCTTTCTCCAGTGCCGCTTCCCAGCTTCTCCCCAACCCCAGCTTCTGAAATTATAGCAAGAAGTTTATGGTGAGGGATGCTGAGCGCCCACCAGGGCTGCAGCCCCCACGCTGCCCGTGGGCCCCAATGCTGTGGGGCGGAAAGAGCTGCTCCCATGGGAGCCCAACCCAGGCCAACAGCCTGGACACCCATCTGCATCCTTTGTGCTTTAATTTGCACGGTTTGCACCCATCGTGGAAATGCCTGCGACGTCCCCGTGGCTCTCAGACACCGGCCTGATGGCCCTGAGCCACGGGGAGCAACTCTGCCTCCTCCAGCTCTTCCCTCCGAGAGGCTCACCCGGCTCCTCGCAGCCCCGGCCAGCCCAGCGCTGCCCAGCTGTAAACAGCGACGGGTCTCACTTTTTCCTCAGGCCCTTTTGCATCCGATTTCCCTCTCGGCTCCCTCTCGAGAAGTGTATGATTAACAGATTACTGCAGGAAGACAGAGGGACCAGACACATGCAAAGCTCCAAATCGGACCACAGCCCACTGCTGCCGAGGAGGGAAATCTGGCTCGAGCACAGGTCTTCTATATAAATATATTTAATTTGGCTAAAACGCCCTGCACTGATAACCATATGATCAGCCATGTGTCATGGAAAGGCATCTACAGATCACAAATAATTAACTGAGGAGAACCCATGGGAAACAAAAGCGTCTTTTACAAGGCTGCCTTGACAACTACGGCGAAAAGCCATTTATTACGAGGAGTGCGGCACCACGCTCGCGGCCAGGTTCACTGAACTGCCCTGGGATCGAAGCGGTGGATGGACAGACAGCCCACAGCTCTCCTGGGAAAGAAAACCACGGCGGCAAAGCCCACCCTGACAACTGAGAGCACCAAGAGCATCATTCACCTGTGACCCCTGGCCACTGCACAGGGGCACTGGGGACGGCTCCCCAAAATGACCGCCAGCCGGAGAGGTTCAGCCTGCGGAGGATGCCGGTGGCTCCTCGGCCGTCCCAGCACAGGACGGACACCCCCAACTACAAAACCCACCCAGGTAAAGAATCTTCCTTCTGGGATTTCGGGATCTCCTTCTCCCAGGTAAAGGATCCTCTAAGGGCTACTCTAAAAATCTCTGAATCAAGGAAAAGGAAAGGAATGATAACTGGAGTCCGAGAGCTTTCCATGAGCTCCAAAAGCATCTGCCAAAGCGCAGACAGCTACCCACATCCTCCACCAAAACCACGGCAAAGTCACTCTTTAATCGCTTTTGAATTTTCCCCATCAGCTGGTTAAACATGTCCCACAGATAGGAATCTCCCCACGATGTCTGGTTCCTGATCATTTCCCAGCAAACCCCTTTTATCCCTGATAATAAAAGAATGTCCTCTGGCAGGTGGATATTTGCCGGTCCTAGTGGACGTCCCTGCCATGAACAGGGTAAACATTACTCAACTGGGGCACTGTCACACACATTCTTCCCTGCGGTCCCAGCCTCGTGCAGAGTGTGCTTCAGCCGCTGCCGGTCTGAGATCCTGCAGCGCTGGTTAAACAATGGGAGGGGAGATAAAATAAAGCCCTTTCTTCTGAGCGTGATCTTAAAGATAGACGAGGAGCACAGGCGGCTCCTATTGGAAACAAAATCGGAGTTTCTGCTCAATCTTCCATCTCTTTCAGGTTTGGTAGAAGCTTTCAGTAAGAAAAAAAAAAAAAAAACCAAACATTTTAATCCCCAAAATCATGCTATACCCAGCTGAGGATGCTTGTAACTCATGAGCCAAGACACCTGGAGTTATGAAGTTGTCTTTAAAAACATATGAGATGTTAAAAGCTGATTTTCAAACTTTTTCCTGCAATCCCAAGGACAAGACTTTTATTGTTTGAGAAGCAATAACCAATGCCGAGATTTTCAGATAGTCTGGTGACCGAGATTTTGGGTCTCTAGGTAAAACCGCTGAAGACTCCAAGCCTTGATGCAGATTAACTCTCCCAAGGAGCGCGAGGTCGAGCTCCGGGGATGGCGCCGGCGGTGCCACCATCCGGCCCCACCGAGGGCAGGGGCTGTGCTGGCGGGGGGCTCCTGCGTCCCCAAAGCCCGTGGGCACCTGGGTCTGCCCAGAAACCGCTTGCGGGGCAGGGTAAAAGCTCTTTGGCCACGGCTACCTTGCAGCCACCAACTATCCTGGCTTGGGTTTTTCCCATTCCTAGAATGGGATGGGAATTATTGTTATTTATATGCCCTCAGGGTTGGGTTGGATTTGGGCAGGTTAGGTAATGAATACTGGAAGCTAGCACAAGGCATTATTGCTGTTGTCACTGGTATAATAAACAGAGCTCCCCAATGATGGCGGGTACCTTTCCTCCGAGCTCCCAGTTTTCAGCGAACACGGTGAGCTCCAGCCCAGCCTAGCCTAAAGCATCTACCTGGGCAACAGCCACCTTCAGGCTTTTTCCCAGGCTGCCCCCAAGTGCACACTACTCCTCCCCAGCCACCTTGCCAGCCTCCTTTTTCTTGCTTTTGGGTTCTACCTGTTACAGCAGCAGGACCCCTTTTTGCATGGTGCCGGGATGCAGCACGCTGCCATAGGGAAAGTAACCCATGCCCAGGCTTCGCCGGCCACCAGCTCCCCGGCAAACCCTCCCCGGCACACTCTGCCATCGCAGGGGGTGCCAAGCCTCAGGAGCCAGCCGTCCCCCGGCAGCACAACCACTCACCCCCACCACCGGACCCCCCACGGGATCCCGCTGGCCGGGGTGAACACACCGGGACAGCTCCAGTGGTTTGCACGGGGACATGAAGGTTTACTCCTGGAGCGAGCTGGGGGCTCTGTGATCCAAGGTTTATGAGCAGGAGCCATTGAAGCCCGACATGACTGTTCCCCCATCACTCTCCTGCGCCTCCGCAGCTGGAAGCAGCCCCCGTGCAAAGAGATTTATTCCTCCTCAGCCTCTCCCTGCAGCCGCCTGAGAGCAGAGCCTGGATAGGGATCACCAGGAATGGGCCTGGCTGCGAAGCCTGCCCTCTTCAAGGCTTTTTTTTTTTTACTGGAGCTACAGCCGTAATATAAAAGTCTGTTTATGGGACCCGGCTATTGTGCGGCCCTGATCTGCACTGCCCGTGAAATGTTTTACTGCTTTCCCATGTTTCCAGACAAGCCGCGGGGTCCGGCTCCCGGAGCCTTAACCCTGTGTTTCAGCCAAGGGGGACGGGCAGTGTGACAGCCCCCAGGGCACAGCCCGGCGGGCGGGGGGTCCCGTGCCCCCCCAGCTGCCTGCAGCCAGCCCCAGCACCCCCAGCTTCTCAGGGGTGCCAGACCCATTCCCCCGACCCGGCTTTTGGGGTGGGGAGAGCAACAGGGGGGGTTAGGGCAGCAATGGATAACTGTGCTGTTTTCATTGCAGGCTTGTGCCATTTTCTAGGTACACACCAGTCTTGTGTCTTTGGCAGGCAAAAGCAATGAAGCAGCTTGGTTTTCCTCTGCTTTAAGTCATATGGATACGATTAAATTGCACTTTTGTAAAAAAAACTCACTGTACTTTTAAATGAGGAGCCTCTGCCACTATCACAGGGCACATCTCGACCTCCTCCGGCAGCAGCGTCCGCTGCTTGCCCCGGCACCAGGCTGCGCTTTTGCCCGGAGCTTCGCAAACACCCTGCAAATCACCGGTGATGCCCAAGCCCAAAATGGACGTGGCCGTGCTCCACGCCTGGTCACCAATGACTCAGGTGGCGGCAGGGATTTAGCCCCGGCTCTGCCCGACCTGTGGGGATACAGCTGCTGGCGTGAACCAGGAGCCCAGCAGTGGGACAAGAAAGGCAAAGTCTAATTTTTGGGGTCACGCTGGACTCTGCAATGCCACACCTATTGACATGACAGAAGCAGCCGGGTCGGTGACGGGACCGTTTCACCCTCCCAAACACAGGTCCAGGCAGCGCTGAGGGCAGCTCTCATTTTTGGGCTGCCACTCAAATTGTCCCTAAAGTGTTAATCTTGCTAAGTTACAGAGGTGCATAGTTTATATCCATTATAAACCTGTTTATGGGGACTGGACCCTCCCATTTCGCTGCTGTCATAAAGTCCTAATTACCCCCCATAAAACCGGAAAAAGCTCCTAACAGCGCACTGTACCCACGGAGCCCCACAATGCGCCCAACAGTAAAATATTACGACCGCTGGCACCAGGACCACAATCAGAACCAGCACATACCCCAAGGAACAACGTGTAGGATCCAGGTATAAACCAAAGAACCTCTGGACCGAGGGTTTATTGATGGGCTCTTTTTTAAGAAAAAGTTAAAACATTTAAATTGCCCTTTGGGTTTAAGAAGAATCTCAGGGGTGGTACTGAGTTATTTTTATGTTTGTTATCTCCATCTACAGAGATATCTAAAAATATATATATGTACATTCATATATATATACACACATATATATATGCATACATGATCGCTCTGATATTGCTTTGCTACTCTTGTATTTGCAGAGCAGGTACTGCTGGCTGGCTGGACGCCCTGACCCCCTTTGGGTGCAGGACCCCCCGGGATGGGCTGGAGGCGATGCTGCGACCCCCGGCCGCAGGGACGGGGCTTTGCGGGGTCCGACGGGCGCCGGCCGTCCCTTTGTATGCAGGGCGGGAGGCGGGGGGCGGCTGGCGAGCGGGGTGGTGCGTCACCTAATCTCATCAATGCGCTGATTGTCTTCGGGGCTCTTGAAGATAAAAATGGCATAAGCCAGAGTCTACGGCATGGCACTGAGATAAAGCCCCTAGTGACCTTCAAATCAAACAGGGAACCAAGATCGCTGATAATACCCCATAGGAAGGGAAAAGTCCAGAGCCTGAGAGAAGCCTCCGAGATAGATAGGCTTTAAGTATTTACCTCCAAATAGTTAAAAAACTATGGCTTGAGGCTTGACAGATGGGTCCCCAAGAAGAGGCCGGGAGGATGTTTGACTTTTACAGCTCTTATCCCTGCCCGGCCGTCATTACGCCCTTTCGCAAGACCCCATTGACATCCCGAGGAGCAGGCGATCCCTCTTTGTCTGCGGGCACGGGAGAGACTTTGCAGCTGCCCCATGCCGCCAGCCCCATCGTTTCCTGCCGGGGGACGTCACGGGGGGACAGGGCCACAGAGGGGTAGGATGCAGGCAGCGTCCCAGCGCCGTCATTAAGCTGTTAAGGCATTGAGCGCTCCAGACGCCGCCGCACGCGGTGCAAGGGCAGTTCAAATCCCAGCATGGCCAGCCCTGGATGGGGTCAGCCAGGCAGCGGGGCCAGCCCCGCCAGCACTGCCCCGCTCCCCGCCGAGGCAGCAGGTCCCCAAACATCTCTTGGAGGAGGTTTAAGCAGCAATGGACCCAGCGATGTTTTGGGAGCTGCAAGCCTGCCAGACCCAGTTTGGTCCAACTGACCCCAAAGCAGTCATGGCTGAGCTCCATCCCTGCCCATCACCCCCAAACCAGCCCTAAAACCCCACCATCTCCTCCTCCTCAGCAAGACCGATAGATATGGCCACTGGCCACCAGCAAATTCCCGTGGCCGAGCCCTCCTGACCCCTCCGGAGGGGCCCTTCGCCGCCACCGCAGCCATCACTCCTGCCCTGCTCAAAAGCCCCTCCGAATGGGCTGTCATCGGCCCTATAGCCACGGCCGGCTCCTGCTGGCCACTGCTCCGACGGCAAAATAAAGGTTGGGGCTTAACGGCCCTCCAGCCCCAAGAAAAATGCCTGCGGTTACAGTAATTGCCATCCCCTAATAGAAGAAAACAAAGGCTCTCGCGGGGTGCCTGCATGCGCGCTGGCAGGATGGGGGCACATCAAAGGCAGCGGGGTTCGTTCAAAGCCCCGGCTTAATTGTCAATTAAGCATGCACGGGGGGGACAACGCCATGACAACGTGGGGCTGCATGCTGGTGGGGTATTGTAAAGCCCGCCGGCCGACACTGAAAACAGCTGATTTTGCTGACAATGTGCTTGTAGGGCACCTTGTAAGCAATCAGTCGGTGACAGGAGGGCAAACGTCTTCCCTGTCCCCGCCATTGTGCGGGGCCTTCCTGGGGCAGGGTCAC